CTGCTTTGAAGATTCTTGGAGGAGCATATTTTAAGAGGCTTTGTTATGCTAAGTTGTTACTCCTGAAACAACATTCAGTTGTCGGATGTATTTTGTTTGCAGGGTGTATTTATTTACTAGTCTGTGCCATATTTTGATCTTGGGGTTAGTGGTTAGGACGTGTTCGCAGTGCACTCTGGCAAGCCTTCCAGGTGCCTTTGCTCTGCTTCAGCCTTGTATTTCGTAGTTCTGGTTGACACACAATACTCCTAAAAGTGATAGCAGAACCAGGGAAGTAACTTGCTTGTGATTTTAAGGAATTAAAAGCACGACTGAATACTTGTTTAGTAGAATGAAATAACGTAGTGCCTAACTAATCTTTACAGTTGGGTGTTTCCCTCTCTCAGCCCTGATGACTGAAGTGGGGGAATTTGGATCGTTTTCATAGCGGGCAAAGCGTGGTGAAGTGTTAGAGTCAGCGTCTGAAGCGGGCACAGGAGCTGTGCAAGGTGCAAACATGTCTCAATTGTTCTTGCATCTTGTGCTGATGGTCTCCCAGACTAAACCCAAGTAGCTGAACCTTGCCTGGATATGTGAGGTTGCCTCAAGGGTGGGTTTCAGCTCTCCTGCAGAGAGAATTCCTCTTCATTGTAATTCTCCATGTCCCATCTCCCCATTCTCCTGCCAAGCCAGATACAATCGCGGGACACCAACAAAATCTCAGTCAATGACACTGAGGTGGTCTCAAACCAGCCTAGCAAGAGGGTCACCAAAGTATGACCCTTTGTGTTTCCGTTCTACCTGAGGCTTGTGCCATCATCTGGTGGGCTGCCTTGGCTGCAGTCCTGGGCCCTATGTGCTCCTGTACTCGTCGGGATGGGGACAGTGGCTGATGATGGCCCTATCATTGGTGCACTCAAGTGCCCTTCACCTGTAGGTTCTACGTCGTCTTAGCAGTGGAAATCCTACAGCAATCTAGAAATTATACTTCCAGCCTCAAAAGCCTTCTTTCTATGCTATGTGCATCCCTAAAATGGGTCCGTTGGATTTTAGGTTAATTTGGGGGCAACTGGGTAGCAGTTGGAGTGAGTAATGCTGGTTTTGAGAACTTTCTGAGAGGTTTTCCTATGCCCCCACGTAATGAGAATTTGCCTTCTAATATCCTTGCCTCTGTTCCTTTTTGGAGGCACACCTCTCTCACGTGACTACTTAAACATCCAATTTAGACTGGGCACCCAATTAAATACCTAAAATTAGGTGAGATCAATCATATGCTTGATCACCACCAGGCTCCCCATGGCAAATGACACCAGGAGATGCTTTGTATTTTCAACCAGACTGTATCCAGGGTGCCCTGAAGCTCCCCAGTCTTTTAGGAACAGAAACGTTTTAATGATCTTTCCCAAAATGGAAGGCTGCAGCTGAGATTAAAAGGGATGCTATTTCTTTATATAGATACTTAGAACTCAGTAACAGGAAAGAGATCCGGTTTAGGGCCTCTTCCCTGTAGCTTGCAGGCTCTGCTGGGATGTATTTTCAATAAATCAGGCTGAATACGTGCCACTCCACGCCTTGCACAGGCATTGCCATGTTTTCTCTTGGACGTGGTCTTACCTTTTGTCTTCTCCTGCTTTCCACCCAGGGAATCCAAACATTCCAAAACCTCGCCGGATCCTGCGCTCCTCCTGGGGCAGCAATCCGAATTTCCGTGGATCCTACTCTTACACCCAAGTTGGGTCTAGTGGGGCTGATGTAGAGAAACTCGCTAAACCACTGCCTTATGCTGAAAGCTCCAAAACTGCTGTAAGTATGGCCCAGATTGGTTCTGTGGCAAGAAGACTAATGTGATGCTGGGTGGTGGGTTTTCTGGGGGAGGTTGAAAGAGACAATCTCTGGTTGGGCGTCCAGGAGTATGTTTTCTAGTTTTTTAGACATACCCCTCAGGACAAATGGTGTATGTCAGATTTTACCTCTTTAATGCTTGGAATCCCTACACCTCTGGGATTCCCATGTCTCTCCTGGAAATTATGAAGAGCTGGGCATCCATGTGGTTTTTAGGATTCTTATCTCTGTTTTTAAAGACCATTAGCCTTACTGGCCAGTTCAGAATTCCCTAGGAAAGCACCTGTTACTCTGTTTTAAAGCATAGTCTGAATATGTAGCGTTAAACCTTGCTAATGGCGAGGTCGGGATGTGTCAGAGATGCGTATTAGGAAATCTTTCTGTGTTGGCAGCAGAGGGTGAGGGAGGCCCTCTCCTTGGCTGGGGGACTCATGCATTGGCAGGGGACAATGAATTTGCTCCTCAGACACTGCCTTTGCTGTCTGAATATCACAAGGAGAGCAAGAGCATGCCTGGAGATAGTTAACTCAGCTGATGAGCAGCAACATACTAAGCCAAACTCACCCCATCATTCAGGGTGATGGGTCCAAATCCAAAGACAGTGGCTGATGAATCTGCCACTTCCTGTCCAGTCCTTTTCCTCCACCTGGAGCCTGACCCCACCATGTAATTTCGTTCACCATGAAAATCTATTAAAAAAAGATAGCAGGAGCTTTAGGAATCTTTCTCTGTAGTTTCAGGAGAAGAGAGGTACCCGAAATTCCTGCCTCAGAACTGAGTTGGCAGCAATTTTAGCAAGCACCTAGCTATTGATGTAAGAGATAAGACACTGTATCTTACCCTGTGGATTTTGAGACAGGACTATTTTTCCTCTGAAATTCCTGTCCAGAAAAATAAATCCTGATTGCCTTGAAGTCTAAAATATAATTTAGGGGAGCAAAGAGAGGAGTCGACGTAAGGTGCTCAGTGACACGTGCAGGTTTGTTTGAGATTATTGGAGGTACTGTCTGGCTCTGTGATAGTGCCTCAGCCCTGCAAACAGCTCCGTGCGGCTGTAGCAACGAGGACGAGCTTAACCCTGGCAGACACGCGCTGTGTCTGTCCCCGTGGTGCCCCACATTGGGATTTCGAGAACCAGCACTCTACGAACACTGGTGTTGGCTCATGGGGATGTGGGAGAGCACAGAAAGTTTTGTCTCCTTTTAGCCTCCCGTCTGCTTTCTAGTAAGCGCTGCTGAGCTTTTCTGCTGTTCTCATCCTCTCCAGCCGATGCAGGTGATGTTTTCCGGGGAGGCTACCCACAGGAAGTATTATTCCACGACCCACGGTGCTGTGCTTTCTGGGCAGAGAGAGGCCGCTCACCTCATTGAGATGTACCAGGACCTCCTGCAGTGCCAGAGCTGAATGGCCCCCTGTTTGTGAACACCTCCAACTCCTAAATCCTTTTACAGGTGTGTGGAGATGTTCTGGGTTTTTGTGGGTTTGTTTTTTTTTTTTTTTTAAATTTCATTTCACAGTAGAACAGCCTTTATCTTTTTCTATTAAAAAAAAAAAAACACCTAACTGATTCTGTGTTTAAAAAGTCATCAATAGCTTCATCTCCGTGTGCTGTATTGTTAACAGGGAAGGGTGCTCCTTTTGTCTGGTAAACTGTTTCTTTGTCATTTTAATTCGAATTTCACTTCTGGTGCCTATCATGTTTTTTTTTTCTTTCTGTATTGTAAGTGCCTTCTATACTCAAATAAATGTTGTAATAAAAAGACTGAGTGCTTTGGAACTTCCTGGACACTTCACTCAGTAGCTCGTGACTCTTTTATTTAAAGCTATAAAAATAGAGTTTTTCTCCCTTCCTACAAAATTTGGAGTAGGAGAATCTTAAGATAGACCTGAATACTCACCGTACCAGTTGATCTTAACTGTTTGTTCGAAGAGTTGCACCTTAGAGATACAGTCGTTTGCCTTGTCCAGGTTAGCACACAAATCTCCCTGTGTCACTCCATGTTTGACTCCGTGTGTCACCTGTCCAGCAGCTTGTGCGGACCTTTGTGCTTCAGGAAATCCACCTATAATTTCGTGGGGGAATTCGTCTTCCCTCTGGGTTCACTCAGCCAGTCCGTGGGAAGGCATCGAAGGAATTGCAGAGAGACAAACAGCCTTGACAAAAGCTGCGCTGGAGACTGTGTCCACGTTTGGTCTGGAATAGTATCTCGGTTTTGAAAGGAGCGCCTCACTCATTCCCACTTTTCAAAAATTAGGTTTGGTTCACAAAATGGTGTGCAAATTAGGCCCCTCTCTAAGGAAGCTAACCCAGAAGCATTTCCCCAGGTATGGTGCAGCCTGTAAAGGGAACACCAAAGTCTAACCTGTCACTTGTCCTTCAGAAATTCCGAAACCACACTGTGGAAGGAGTGTTCATAGCTGTGCACCAGACTAAAGTGCAAAGTCAAGCCCCCCAAACTACTTCGGTAATGCAGGTACAGCTGGAGTGTACCCTGCAGCTGTAATTGGGGCAGCTAGTCTGAGTGAAAAAAACATGCAGACTTCTGTGGGGAGTGTGGGCAAGAAGGAGAATAATCAGAAGCAGCGTTCTTGGACTACTACTGTGATGAAACTCCATCTTTTGTTGGACAGCCATAGCCAAAACAGGTGAGGTTTTCACCCCCCACTGCTAGAAAAGAAGGTCCAAAATTCTGAATGACACCATTGGTGTTGGAGAGTTTTCTCAGGGAGGTCAAAGCTGTTCTCACTAGTAAGGAATTTTGAAGGAATGTGAAAACTTGGCTCAGTCATATTACATCTGGATTACAAGTATATATGCTGTGGAGCCTACACATAGTACCTGACATAGACTTCAATTAAAACTCCTGACCAGATTTGCACTTAGTTCAAATACAAGCTGGGCAGCCCTGGGTTATCTCTGAAGGGCTGGGACCTTAGGACACAGCTTGGAAAAGCTTCATCTCCCCTGTAAGGATGCTGCATAGAATCGTAGAATGGTTTGGGTTGGAAGGGACCTTAAAGATCATCTAGTTCCAACTCCCCATTCTCCACATCTCACACTTCAATGATTTTTACTTTGTCTGAGAGGAGGTGGCACTCCAGAACTGCTGATACATAGTGAGTATCCCCATGTCCCTTCCTTTATGTCCAAATTTGGCCCAGTTGTATATAAATGTGCTCGATTTATCAACAAGATTCATTCTTATGTTAAACTATTTCTGCAGTGAAGCAAAATCCTGGGAGACACTATTCTAGAGGGCTGCCAGACCAGCCAGGGTTTGAAGGCTGATGGATGTCCTTCTTTCCTTTGCTTGAGTGGAAGCAGTTTCTCCTCCGCATTTTGGGCAATGAGGCTGCCATGAGAAGACTAAACACCAGTGCCAAGGATAAGGAGTGCCTGGCAAGGTTTGTTTAGGAGCCTGCCAGCTCCTCTTTGTGTGATCTGGAGATCACATCCTCACCTGAAGAGCACCTCTGGCAGTAACACCTCTTCTACTATCCGAGTAGAGCTGCTTGAAAATTCATTCAAATGTACTTGAGAAAAGGGCTGCAAATAAAATTGATGGAAAAGTGGAAGTTAATAAGGAAAACATTTGAAAATTAACTTGGGGTGAATGAATAAGGGTAATGCAGCAAGCCTGTCCTAATATGCACCACTTAAACCTTTGGGAAGGCATCCAAGAGAAGACTTTCCTTCTAGGTGGAGAGAAAAACTGTCCCTCACCTGAGTGAAAGAATTCTCCATTGACCCAAATAAGCCTCCTGAAGAGACATGTTTATTTTTAAAACGGGTTCTAGTTTTAGTCACTGAAGCATACGTGTGTGTGTGTTTCTGTGCAGGGTTTGTTTCCCTCAAAGAGTTCTCTGGTTGTGTAGGCAAGTATTTGCTAGGACATATGTTTCTTTGATGAAGCAGAAGCCCAATGGCAGCCGCGCCGACTTCCAGTATGTCCTGAAGGGTGCAGAGTCGGGAAACTTGCAGGCGTCACAGATCAGTGGGGTTTGGGATCCCTGAACTGCGTGGGTTTAGAGAAAAGCGTAACTTGCTCCGGCTTTGAGCCTCTACTCAGTTTAGCAGCACTCGGTGCCGCTACAGCAAATGCAGAAGATGCACGTGTGTCTTCTGCGCCGTTGGGCAGGGTCGTTAAGAGCCGTGGTGCATGGAGGCAAACAGCTCACTTCTGAGAGTGGCATTTCGTGCTTTGCTGTCACTGAGGCGGACACTTAGAATCATGGAATCATGGAATGCTGGAAGGGACCTTAAAGATCATCTAGTTCGAATCCCCCTGCCATGGGCAGGGACACCCTCCACTACACCAGGTTGCTCAAAGCTTCATCCAACCTGGCCTTGAACACTTGCAGGGATGGAGCAGCCACAGCTTCTCTGGGCAACCTGTTCCAGTGCCTCACCACCCTCAGAGGGAAGAATTTCTTTCTTATGTCTAATCTAAATCTCCCCTCTTCTAGTTTAAAGCCATTGCCCCTTGTCCTGTCACTACATGCCCTTGTCAAAAGCCCCTCTCCAGCTTTCTTGTAGCCCCTTTAGGTACTGGAAGGCTGCTAGAAGATCACCCCAGAGCCTTCTCTTTTCCAGGCTGAACAGCCCCAACTGTCTCAGCCTGTCTTCATAGGAGAGGTGCTCCAGCCCTCAAATCACCTTCGTGGCCTTCTCTGGACCTGCTCCAACAGCTCCATGTCCTTCTTGTGTTGGAGACCCCAGAGCTGAACGCAGTACTGCAGGTGGGGTCTCACAAGAGCAGAGTAGAGGGGCAGAATCCCCTCCCTCGACCTGCTGCCCACGCTGCTTTGGATTCAGCCCAGGACACGGTTGGCTTTCTGGGCTACAGGTGCACATTGCTGGCTCATGTTGAGCCTCTCATCAACCAGCACCCCCAAGTCCTTCTCCTCAGGGCTGCTCTCAATCTATTCTCTGGCCAGCTTGTATTTGTGCTTGGATTGCCCCGACCCACGTGCAGGACCTTGCACTTGGCCTTGTTGAACTTCATTAGGTTCTCACAGGCCCATCTCTCAAGTCTGTTCATGTCCCTCTGGATGGCATCCCTTCCCTCCAGCGTGTTGACCACACCACACAGTTTGGTGTCTGGTGTCGTCAGCAAACTTGCTGAGGGTGCACTTGATCCCACTGTCCGTGCCACCAGCAATGATCTTAAACAGCACCTGACCCAGTACCGACCCCTGAGGAACACCAGTTGTCACTGGTCTTGAATCCTACTTGAATTCTTGGAGGACACTTCCTTGCTAGGAGACTTTGCAGCATGATGGTTTGAAGCTCAGCTTTTTGCTTTCAGAGCCTACCCTCAGGCAAGCAGCTGTTCTTGCTGCAGGGCTCAGTGTTCAACCCCGGTAATGTTTGGCTCTACCCTCCCCCTGGGTTAACAGCTTCTGTGAGGACTTGTGGACAATGTGCCCCTTTGTTAATGAGTCCATTTAGTGCCTTATGCTTTTAATTGCACGTCCTCCAGCTTAATAGGAGCACTCTCCCCCAGTCTAAGCAGCCCCTGAACGGTGCAGATGTGTGTCAGTAGGCACAGATGTTAGTAACCAGCAAGGTTTTGTCTTGACCTTGTGAAAGGTGCCATCTGGAACAAGAAAAACCATTTTTTTTTCCTTTAAAGATACAAATCATGTTCTTTTTTAAAGTCAAGTGAATGAAATGTAGTCATCAGCATAGCTTTAAAATGTCTAAACAGTTTCCAAAACTAATTAAAAAGAAAAATGTTCAGGATGGAGAAGACACGTGTTTAACTGGTTGCCTTATCTCTCCGCGTTTCGTTTCTCCATGTGGCTGGCTGCTGGCCAAGGGCTCGTGCGAGGAGTGAAGAACATGTCTGGTTTGGCATCTGCTGCCCCATGGGACGTGTGTGCTCTCTTTGTGCTTCCCTATGAAGCATCTGGAGTAGGAGTCTCAGTTATGCAACTGCAGCTATTTATATATATATATTTAGGAGTGGGACGTCCAGTTGATAAATTTGTTACGGAGAGTCCTTCTAGAGACGACAAAGAAAGGGAAAGGGGCAGAGAGAGGGGAGAAAACTCCCTCCAGAGGATGAATCAGCGCATCCCAAGACAGATGTCTGGAGAGGAGGCACCATCTCTGACTGACTCTCCCCAACCTCTGCTCCATTGTGCTTAACCTCTGCTGTTGTGTGGAGGTGGGATGCCTTCCTGCTGCTGGAAAGTTGGAAAGGATTGCAGTACGTTGACTTTATGATGGTTTTCTCCCGGTTTATCTCAGTAGCAAAACCCTTTTCGTGATGTTGCTGAGTTGTGAGAGCATTGTGCTGTGGGAAGAGCACATGCTTGAGTTGCTGAGAACAAAAGATGAAAAATCTGTCCAGCTTCAATCACTTGGCTTTTGCCAGAGGTTAACCTCAAGGAGCCAG